ATGAAATATAATGATTAAAAACAACTTATGGAAGAGTTTATATTGACTTACAGTTCCAGAGGGAGGAGTCCATCGTGGTGTGGAAACATGGAAGCCAAGTGGTAGGAGATACGTTCTTCCAGTAAGGCTACACCTCCCATAACCACCTCAAACAGTACCAACCCAAGGAACAAGTCTTAAAATGCCTGAGCCTATGGAGGACATTTCTCATCCAAGCTGTTTGCCCTTATATGATGCATCACATTCCATCAGAGATGCTCTTTCCAATTTCAGTTCAAGTATTACTTAGTTAACTTTACTTCCAGGAGCAAGGTCTGAGAGAAAGTGAGGGTTAGACCTGTTATTTCCATCTTGGAATCATATTGAGTCAGAATTCGGGTTAGTTTCGAAAGTATGTTTGAAAGATGGAGGAAAAAAATAGTTCCACAACAGTGATCAAGACTATAAATTCTCTTTGTGTGCTCAACTCATGAGTTGGTATTAGCATTTGTAACCAAAAAGGACTTCTTACAAGTGCTGTAACACAATAGCTTAAATAATTACTCTTTGACGATCCACCATAAGGTTGCTACTATATTCTTTTTAAAATAAGCAGTCAAAAGTATCTCTCGAAAAATTAGGATGCTTGTTAATTATTTAATCTGTTGTTCTTTTCTCACCTTTCCTATTAGAAGCTCAGTTCTAAAGTTAATGCTCAAAATTAATGGCCTGATAGTTGTGTATACTGGCATACCTCTCATTTTCAGTTTTGTTGTAGTGTTTCATTTTTGGTTGTGAGCCTAGCCTTTAATGGCTAAGCCATCTCTCCAACCCTAGTGTTTCATTTTTAAAAGCCTTATTTGTCATTATTAAAAAAAATCCTTTAATCTTTGTTTAAAAGAAAATCAGCATAATATCTGGGACAAAAATACAGAACAAATTTGTTGAGTAAAATTGAACCTATTAACAAAGAATGCATTTTGTTCAGAAACTGAATAATCTGTTGTCAATATGGTAGCTTATTTAAAATTAATAAACAAGATAATATAAAAAAGAGCTATGTTTGGAAAACACATCCAATGTATCTGAGAATCCTGAAACAGAAGTAAGAAAAACTATAGTGCCTAACCTCTGCTTAAGCAAGGAGATCTGGGAAATGGACGAAAGAAAGGAAGGGTTTCAAAGTGGAAGGGCTGCTTTGCGCTTGGGTAGGAAAGGTTCTAGGATCCACAAAAATCCTATGAAGGATATAAAGTGTACCTTCAAAATCGGGTCTGCTGCATTTTCAGTCAATCTGTTATTTCAAGTAAAAAAGGAGAATTCATCCCAGCTCTTGGGAGGCAGAGGCAGGTGGATCTCTGTGAGTTCAAGGCCGGGCTGGACCAACAGCCTCCAAATCAATACAGAGAAACCCTTTCTCGTAAAACCAAAAAAAAAGAGAGAGAGAGAGAGAGAGAGAGAGAGAGAGAGAGAGAGAGAGAGAGAGAGAGAGAGAGAGAGAGAGAGAGAGAGAGAGAGAGAGAGAGAGAATACAAAGGGAATCAAAGAACAACAAACTTTAGTCTTCTTCTTTTATCCCTTTCACATAGATTAAATCACACTTAACCCTACAAGGCCTAAACTTCCCCACGAGTCACTGACTAAAATTATACTCCTATTTAAAATGAGAGAGAGTGGGAAAGCAATTTTTACAAACTCCCTCAAATTGACTTGGGGTGTCCCTTGCTTACCTCTAAGAAGCTGAGAAAGTTAAGAGGTACATGAAGATCTTGATCACCACATAGGAACATATGTTTTACATGTGTACACAGTTGTTATAATGTAACATGCCATCACTTTTTTTTCAGTTAAATTTTTTTTGTATTTATTCTAAGCATACAAGAATTGGTCAGCACTTGGAGACAAATATATTAATGGTCCCACGGCAGAAAAGCCTATCATTTTAAGTTGCAGAAAAATGAATTCTCCTGATAAGGTCTAAGGTATTGTATATTTGCATGCTTTTTCTCTTGAATTATTTCATTCTATAAGGATACTAGAATAAGAATCTTAAAAGGAAAAAATATCATAGTTCTGGAAACATCAAGGAATATGCATAACTAAGCAGTATTAAACACCTGTTACATTTGGTTCCAGAATCTTATATATACACATACATTCATATTCTCTCTCTCTTTATATATATGTATATATATTTGTATATATATGTATATATATATATAATCTCCCTCTCCCCACTCAATGAATTGTATAATTTACCTATGTATTTAATAAAAGTAGGGTTTTATATCCATAAATGATCAAGCAAGGGCAAGTATAAAATGTTAGAAAGTTATAGCCTTTTTATTTATTACCCAGAGAATGCCAGTAATTTAATATAATTTCTTGATAATTATTACTCACAGTTTTAACAAGAACAAAAATAAATATAACTTTATGTCATCTTTGGCATGTTGTAAATTCAAAAAGGATAGCCATTTCTTTAGCAGCACTGTGAGGTAAAAGAACACTGTAGAATGCACTACTAAATCTAATCTTACAAGAGGAAAAATGTAGTACAATCAGTGAAAGTATCAAGGTTAAAAGGAATAGGGTCTTAAAGAAAATACTTACAAAATAAATGATGGTATAAAGCCTATACTAGTTAGAAAAATTATAGATTATAGCAACCTTCCCCCCGCCCAATTTCAGCTTTTAGATTTGTAAGTTTCTGGGAAGTAAATCTATATGCAATTTCTATCAAAAACCACTTCTGTTGAGAAGTGCAATGACACTCTAGTGAATATAAGTTTCTGTATCAAAACAATAGGTACATGAATTCCCAAGTGTTTGGGAAGTATCAGAAAATGAATTTTTTTAAGATATGGCAGTAACAAATTAGGTTCTCTTTGCATAAATCCTGGCCAACACATGAGTAGCAATACCACGTCTGTTTTGCCATATACTTTCCCCCATTTTTATTATAGACTTTAATGTACTATAAATTCTCATACACAAACCATGCTGGGATCTGGATATTTAATTAAAAGTTTGTATATAACTTTTAAAAATGGTGATTTTGTCCTAGATTACTTTCCTGGCAGTATAGATATTTTTACTGTATTAAGAAAAGCTTATACTTTTGATATAAAGGTTATCAGTTTCAGAAACAACAAATTTTAAGTGAGAAGTAAAATGCTACCTAAACAATATTAGCTGATTAAAAGAAAAAGACAACAAATTAGTCAAAGAATGTTAATTATTAGTAAATGAATGCACATCAATATATTCTCTAGAACTGTCCAACATAAAATTATAAAGTGTAACTAAGAGGCATAACTAGACAAAGTAAAAGCAAAACAGTCATTCCCAGGAGGTGTTAGAGATAGGAATGTAGAACAAACCTTTACTTGGCATATGTTCAGACATATACATCTAAACATTTCTCTCAAGAGTTATCTTTTGCTAATCAATAACTAAAGTGTATATATTGTCTAATACAATACAAGCAATTTTGAATGTTTTTGTTTAAAAGGACTTTTCTTTTTGTAACTTTCTTCATTATAATCTAAGGTTCCAATTATAATCTTATATTTTTGGTTGTGAGCCTAGCCTTTAACGGCTGAGCCATCTCTCTAGCCTTCCAATTGCAATCTAAGGTTCAGTGCAAATCCAAGTATCCAAGGTCTTCTACATATTAGCAATAAAGTTGAATTTTAAATTGTCAAGCAATATTATTTTGCACAAACTATAGAAGAGACTTCATTAGTTAGGATACTATTAATCAAGTGATATGATTTTCTATGAGCAGTATTATTATAACAGGTTTCAGTGGGGAAACATACACGCAAAACAACCCATTGTTAACTCTGTAGTGTGCCAAACAAACACAATCCCTCCAGGCTAACCAGGATGGTATTTAAAAGGTTCTGGTTTCTTTAATCATTAACAGCAAGAAATCAGAAAACAAAAATAATAGTAAAAGAAAAATATTTAGGTATTCCTATCAAAATATGTTAAAAGTTTGATAGCAAAAAAAAAATCAGTCAACAACACAGCTGTCTAATTCTCTTACAAATAGTTTCCTGAATATTCACTTAAGGTAATATGTGCTTTCAGACAATGGATTCTTAGTCTACCTTAATGTTTCTCTCTTCAAGAAAAATAAGTTCAATTATCTTCTCCTTTCCAGAATGGTAAAACATCAAATGTGCTGCTGTTAAATACTACCAAACAATGCAAACTAAATGATTGCAAACCCATTAGGACCTATAGTATGCTAAAGTCTCACAGAAAGTTTGTTTTAACTGGTCAAAGAAGCCTTTTTTGAGAAGCATTTGAATCTTCATTCATTATATTCTGATTAATTCTAGTCAAAAACGACATGATTAGGCACCCCATGTCTACAAAAAAAGGATATTGTCATGTCTTTCTTTTCTAATAATGTTGTCTCTCTAATACTTTTATTAAGCTAGTACATTTGAAATTTCTAACAGCAAGTTTCTCACAATTAGGCAAATGCTCTAGCATGCCTGTGTTTTCTGCACAGTCAATACTCACTGGGAGATTAAAAAAAACATGTTATTCATTGCTTAATCCTTAAGTGTTCCTTTCATATTAGGCTGTACAAACAAATGAAAGTTATGGCAATCTTTTTAACCCATTGAATATACGAAGGCTGAAGGGTATTTTATGATCATTTTTCACTTTCCAGTTTCATTTTCTCTAATTTTATCATCTGGAAAATACATATAAAAACAGTATGTGTCCTAAAAATTCTACAGAAGAGTTGTATCTTTGAGTAAAAACCCTGACGAGAATGTGTAACTGCACAAACAAGATAATGACAGGAGCATAGCAACTCAGAGCATAAGGACACAGATTTTTTAAATGCAAGTACTTATTGTAATAAAGCAAAAATGGGGGAAATGAACCAAATTGGAACACAAAATATGACACTACGACTAAGTGATGCTATTATGTGGCATTAGATCACCTGTTATTTAGTATTGTTCAATTATTTTAAAAAAGACACTTCAAAGTAAGAATACATACCTTTATATATCACATGTGGGAAACAGATATTTGTGCATGGATACAGATCACTTACATTTTAAAGAGAATACATATAGTTTGTTTTAATAAATACCAACATTACATGTCTCCTAGCCTAAACCACATACTCAGTGATCAGTTCTTTCTGAACTAAGCAAAGTAAAATGCACAGCCAACAGTACAACTAGCACACACAAGTATACATTTCTATTCACTAAACAAAACTGATATCCTCCAGTTTACATTCATGAATTATTTATGTCAGTAGTAGTACTTAATGGTATTTTCCTTTACAACAAAAAATGAGTTTTTAAAAATTCAGCATTTAAATAAAACAATACATACTATACAGTGGTTTTGAGTCATAAATTTGATAAAAACCAATTTGGCTGGTTTATATGAATATGCTTTTTAAATGTGTTCAAATTTCTGTGTGAATCATTAATGTTGTTTTCTTATTCAAAATGTTAGATTATTTTCTTGAAGTACAACCAATATGTAGAATTGTCTAATGCTTACTGAAATGCATGATATGGTTTCCTATGTGCTAAGTGTACAAGCCCACTATAATAAAACTTCAACTACATCACTATAGGAATCAAGGTGGAATGATATGCTCAAATCACATGGGAATCAGAAATACAATAGTGTAGCTCCACTTATAAAGGGGACAGATGATGACTAAATTCAACTGGTTAACTTCAAAGTCAGCTTATGTAACATCAAGATCACATCAACACCATGTACTTCATAGCCAAAGGCTTAACTGACATATTTAGGAGATTACAAGACCAACATGAAACCTCTAGATAAAAACATCTTCACTTTTGCTACAATTCAATTAGCTGAAAAACATTAGAAGCCTATGGAAACTTTCTCTAGGAGAAACCATTTACGGTAATATACAAACCTGTCTGCACACATTATTTGTGATTTAATTATTCTATCAAAACTTCAGCAGCAACCGTATCAGGAATTCATATATTAGCACAAATGCACTTTGCTCCGGCACCAAACTACTCACTACATTTAGTATCTAAACAGACTCAAATGAATGGAGTGATTTGGCTATGCACAAGCTACTAGAATACTTCTGTTTTTCTTTAAGGACAAAATGTTACTCTTCAGCACATGATGTTGAAGATACTGTTATTGTTTAGTATTATAACATTTATGACATGAAAAGCATTTTGTGTAAAATAATAATAACAGGCTTACTTTGTTTGAAATGAATTTGGGGAGTTAATGTGCAGAGAAGTTGTTAAGACCTTATGGACATAAATTATGTAGTTAAACATTTGGACACTACTGAAAAATGACATAGCATGAATATTATGGACCTATGTATATTCGTTTAAAATTCTAACCTCCCAAAAAGAGAGGCTTTAAATAGAATTTTCAAGTAATGTGGCAGGTAAAAACACCTTTGATATAAGATTAGGTCTAAACCAAAGAAAAGCAACCCACAACACATTTAATTTTCTCTTCATCCAGTTAGCTGAGGAATAGTATGAATCTTACACGCCAGTTGACGTTCGCTTTTTCATGCTCCGTCTCTGAGCTAAACTCGAAGCAGCAACAGGCTCAAGGATTGTTTGAAAAGTCTTGGGAGTCAAGGTAGTATATGTTGCAACCACTGCTTCCTAAAATAATGACAAAACATTAGAAATTCAGTAACAATCTCAGTAGGAAATAAGTATATAATATTATACCGTAAGAGCTACACCTATGAAATTTGCCCTTTTACATTACATAGCTGCTATAGCAAGGACTCAAGTTATAGAACTAGCTAAGTTGCACATATATGCGAAAAGAATATATATATATACATATATATGTATATGTATATATGGATGGTTTGGAATACTTACACAGTAAAATTTTTATTTAGCCATAAAAAAGAACAAAATTATGTCATTTGCAGGAAAATGGTAGAGCTGAAAATAGTTAAACAAACTAATGTAGAATCTAAAAATAAATACTGTACACTTTTCCCTCATATATGGCATCTATATTTTAAAAAGACAAAGGAGCTATCTATTACTATTACCAGTATAGAGCAAGATAAGGGGATCATTAGAGTAAATATGCTCAAAATACACCATATGGATATAACAAAATATCACCACAAAACCCATTATTTTGGAAATTCATATAAGCTAAAAGATAATTTTATGAGAAAAGACATAGTAAAAACATTAAAAGTTTGTGAATGTTTATAAGAAAAATCTATCTTCAAGAAATGGATACTTTAAGAATCAAAACAAAAATAAAACAAAAGAAAAAATCATCAGTGGGTAATATAAGATACACATTAAGCATGTGTTTATTTTACCGTCACAACATGTGATGCATCATTTGTCTTTGGCTGATCCCTTGGCAACTGCTCTCTGTGGGTTATCCAAGAGTGCTTTAATACTTGTTCAGCAGTATAACGCTGATGTGGGTCCATGTGAAGCATATGAGAAAGCAAATCCTAAATGGATAAAAAAATCTGTATGAAAATATATAATTCACATTTCCTCAAAATATGAAAGTTTCAATAACTTTAGTGTTCTTTTTAATCAATTCTTAAGAAAAACAGTATCATATGCTGTACAGTTAACTCTCTCTGCATGCACATATATTAAAGTCACCAATTGAAAGTGAAATGATGGAGGGAGAAGGGAGGAACATGAGTGATGTAGATGCAGTACTCATATATGAATTTCTCAAAAAAATCTAAAGACAAAAGGTAATCTTGAAACAGATTTTTCATTATGTAGTAAAGTTTTTATTTTTGTAAATCTGTGCATACCAATCTTCTATAACTGGGATTTGGTTAGTAATAAAAGTGGGAAAACCACTTAAGATAGCAGGAGTTTCCCTGGAATGTTTTAAATGGACAAGAAAAGAACTATAAAACTTTGCTAGAAAGATAGACCACTAAGATGTAATGGTTTGTATATACAGATAAATCAAAAAGGGGAGGTTGCCACGCAGTTAGCTAACCCATTCAGTAAGAACTTTCTGCATTACATGCTGAGGACAGCAAAATATAAATTCAATGTCAAAAATTATGATAATGGTCCAGTCACCATTAACTATGAATACATTATTTTTGTTATAATTAAAACTGTGATAGAACATAACTTCACAGTAACATACAAGTTTAAATACACTCAAGCATGTAACACTTTGACTAAACTATCTTTTAGGAAAACAAGTAAAATCCCTTTAACAAGAATTTTCTAATAGAGAAAGACATCATTTGTGTAACCTTTCATTACCAAGAACAATGAAACTAACGATGATAGTTAATAACAACAGATAAAAGACTAATATTCTTGTATTCTCACAACTCAGTAGGATTACCAGAAGTTTAAGGCCAGCCAAGGCTATATAACAAATTTGGGAGAAGCCTTATTTGACCATATTTTTTCAAAAAAGGAAAAGAAAAAATACAATCTGTTAAAAATATTTCAGGGCTTTAGATAATTAAAATAATAAACTTGGAATAGAACAGATGTGGTAAAAAAACAGAAATTTAATATTAAAAATGAAACATGCAACACTGGGGAACACATGGAGTAATGGGACGGGGAAGGAGGAGAAAGGGAAGAGTGGGTTTTGGGGGTATGTTATCAATGTATATTATATATGTGCATTAAGTCTTTTTATAAAATCTAGTGCCACATAAAATGAGTATAGAAAAACAAAAGATAATGAATATTTAATAAAAAAGCCTTAAACAGTGACTCATAAAAGTTAATAAGTAATTCATTTGGTTCAGCAAGCCCATTACTACACATATAACTAAAGGAATTAAAATCAGTATGTCAAAGAGGTATCTGTACTTCAATAATCACAGTAGTACTAATGACAACACACACAAAATAAAAACAACTCATGTGTCAACCAACTGTTAAATGTATAAAGAAATGTCACATATATAATACATGGTAGTGATTGCATGTATACATGAGTGAATATTAGGTGTATGTATGTATATGAATTTATATATGCACAAGACAGAACACCATTCAGTCCAAATAGAATGAAATTCTATAATTTGTGATAACATGGATGGAACTAGAGATCATTATTTTAGTGAACCAAGCCAGGCATAGCAACACAATTATGACACGCTTTCACTCAGTATGTGGAATGTTAAAGCAGTCAACCTCATAGAAATGAGAGTAAAATGTAGGTTAGCAAACATGATGGAGTATAGGGGGAAGGGAGATGAGGAATTTGGATCGGTTACAGTTGGATAGGCTCAAGAATTTCTGGTATGCTCCCACAGAGAAGTGTGACCTCAGATAGCAACAAACACCTACAACAGCATTTTTTCAATGTTTTGTTTTAAGGGAATGTTACGTGTTTGAGATAGATATGTTTAACTTAACACATGTATTAATATATTATATGTTATATCACTAATATGAACACGTTTTATGGTTTATGTATAATTTAAATACAAATATAAAATAAGCCTGACCAAGTGTCACATACCTGCAACACCAGCACTTGGAAGGTACAAGTAGTAAAATCAGGAGTTCAAAGTTATCTTTGGCTACATAGCAAGTCCCAGGGGAGCCTGGGCTACATATGGCATTGTCTTAAAAAAAATAAAACAATCCCTGCCTACCAACCGACACATTACATTACAAAACAAAGGTAAAATCTCCATAGCTCACGAACTTCTACTTTTGGTCAGATAGAATTCCAAGTTCTGGATTTACTCACTCAGTTGAAAAGTCAAAAAAACAAAACAAAAACTAACAGTTTTCAGATTAAAGGCAACAAAGGAAAATGATCTCCAAGAGATGTCAAGCAAGCATCATGATTGCTTCAACATACTACCTTGAGTTTGTTTTGGCCGCTGTGCAGTTAAGGAGGGGCCAGCCTGTGGATCAGACTGAGGAGACAGAAGTGCCATTCATAGGAGACCAACACAGTCAGTCCGAAGACAGAGAATGAAAGGGGTGATAGAAAAGAACAGAAAATTACAGAGACCTACAGATGATTTCCTTCAAGAATTCAGATTACTACATACCCACACATGAGTAAACACTTCAGAAGAAATATTGGAAAAGATGGGATGTAATTCAGAACTAATTGTTAGTGTCTACAAGTTGTCACAAGTATTTCATGTTAAGCAAAATGTTTCATTCATATTCAAGTTTGAAACATAATATTTGAAGAATATTTTGATTATATTGATTATAATCTTCTAGATTTCAAATATTTTAACATAATCTTTATTCTTTTAAAAGAATCCTTTATTTTAGAAATTACATGGTTTATACACACAGAAACTAAAAATAAAACTTGGGAAAAACTCAAGAAGTTATGCAAAGTGGGGGAGGAATATTATGCTTCTATTAACTTAACTGATAGAACACTTTGCCTAACTGGTAAGGAGCCTGAGACTTCTGTAGTCTTCTCTAAGAAAACCTTAAAAATGAAGATGCAGAACTATCACTGCTTCCCGAAATGTAATTGACAGTAGACTAAAGGTCAATAATATTTACAGGAATAGAAAAGTACCCAATATCCACTGATGTAAAATTGATCATTTTTGCCATCTTAGCAAAAATTAGCAGGCATACAAGAAAAGAAAGGACAATGAATAAAAAATTAAAACTGACTCAAAACTGACATGTTAGAATTTGCAGATAAAAATTTTAAGAGAGCTAAAACTCTATTTCAAACATTCAGAAGTTGAAACAGAAAATATTTAAAAGAGACTCATATCAAATGTCTAGAACTGAATACTGAAAGACAAGGGTAAATATAAACTGACTCTAAGAGCAGGCATAGCAGAAAAGTGATTGTTAAAGACAGTATTAGCCATTACCCCCAAAGAAATAGCTATTAAAACAGGTGAAGAGCAGAGCACCAGTGAGCTATGTGACTATTCAAGTGGCCTAACATTCATATACAACTGGAGTTTAAGAAGAAAAAGAAAAACCCTTCAATTTCCATATTTAATGAAAGTCAGAAACATGCCACATTTAGTAATAACAGAAATGATGGTAACATCAACTTCATTTCAGAAAACATTTCAAAACAAAACACAGTGGAATAACTACTGTAATATACTGAAAGGGAGAAATAATGCCAACTTCATATTTTTTATTATATAACCATATCCTTCAAAATCAAACAGGAAGATGGAAGAAAGATACCTGAAATTTTCCTGTATTTCCACCAATCTACAATAAGAGAGCATTAACTGTAGTGGTTACAGGAAAAGGCTGATGCCATGAAAAGTTAAGGGAGGGTATTAGCAAACATTAGACAGAGATGAGGTGGAATCCAGGAATGATGACCTTTAGATTTGTAAAAAGAAACAGGCCCTAAAACAGCAGAAGAGGGAGAGCATCTCCCCCAGCAGAACTTTATGTAAAAGAGGAAAAAGAAAGACTGTGAGTTTCACAGGTGCACAATATGGAACTCTTCAAAACAAAGAAATAAGTGAAAATAAGAGATCTGCAACCAGTATTACAAGCAGGCATTGAACTACAGGCCTCCTACTGTACTAGCATGCTCACTGGTGCTGACAGGTTAATCATTTTGAAGTTTTACAGTCAAAACATTCAATAACTGGGCAAATAAATGTCTCAAGAATCAGTGTGGGCCCAGTATATTTGTTGTAATCTAGATGCAATTCAAAAACATAGTTCTCCTTAGGTGAGAAATATGGGTATGACTACAGAAGAAAGTTGATTAAATCTGTAGACCTTCAACTGGGCCTCTGGGAATAGACCAGCTGTGGGAGAATACTAGCAGAGCCCAGTTATAGCTAGATCATGCAGGGCCAGTCAGTGTTTCATGCCGACCCTATAAGTACATATTACTTTGGTCTGACAGATTCATGTAATCTCAGAGCACTGGAAACATAGCCTGCCTCAGGCATTTTTCCTGCTCACACATGCACTAGCAGAGCACGTCTGGTATGAAGGGGCATCCAAATGTTAGGAAATTCTTGGGTTCATCTAGCAGAAGCAGTTTAAGGGCAGGTTCTGCACTCCTGTATTGCCTGGCCTGGATGAGGAAAACACTTACAGGAATTTTGTTCAGCCAGGGCTAATAATAATTTACAGTATCACGGAAAGGGTACAGTTGGGTTGGTATCAGTCTGCTACCAGACTTTTTTGGCCTAACCAGAATAAATGCCCAAATGCTTCCAATATCAAATACATTGAAACAAAAGAAAACTGAGAACTCCACACTATGTATCTTCAGGAAGTGAAAAATGCTGGCAATTTTTATTGTTTTTTTCTTGTACTTTGTTTTATATCACTATTATTTCTTAGCTTTCATCCCATATATAGTTCTTCTCATCCCTGTATTCCTTTTTTGCTCCTCTATCCTTTCTTCATCTACTTCCTTTTTACTACTTTAAACTTCAGTCAATTTTAATTCCTAGCTTTTACTTTTCTTTAAAAACTCTAACTATCCTAGCTCCTTTCTTTTCTATCTAACTTTTATAATGGTCTTGATATTTCTACTTCCTTTTTCCTACATTTAACATTTATTTAGCTTTTGAATTACTGTCGTCTGTTTTCTCTCCTCTGATTGGTACTGGAGATTGGGTTTTGAAGAGAAGGCTGTTTGGCCTTAATTCCAGCCTTGGGAGGCAGAAGCAGAAGGATCCCTGTGTGTTCAAGGCCTCCTAGAGCTGCACAGTGAGACACTGTCTAAAAAGAGGTAGAAGATGAACAAAACAGAGAGCTATCCAGGCCATACTTTCAAGAGAATGAACATGAGAATCAATCCATGAAGTAGAGAAAGGAAGGAAAAGATATACAAACCAAAAAGACTGAAAGCCTATTAAATAAATTTACAGCAGAAAAATTAAATATTGGGAAGGATCAAATATCCATCCAATACAAGAAACATTGAAAAGCCCAAATGGACATAATTAGAAAGAACTTTTCCATATTTTACTATAGTGGAAATTCTATGCTAAGAAAAGAAAAAGTATCTTAACCTTTAAAGGACCGATCTCTTTACTTCTATCACCAAAGTATACAGCAACACACAAATCACCTAAACTGACTTAAGACTTAACAAGGGAAATCAAAACAAAACCTTCATCTGCTCACTAAACCATATCTGAACTTTTCTACTTGCCCAGAGATTTCATAGGATTATTGAATGGTATACTTTGTTACAAAAATGAAGCAATGAAGAATAATTTTAAGAGGAACATGTCTGTAAATATTGAAATGTACTGTTTTAAATTTTACTCAGAAGGGTCTCAATTACTGATTATCTGCCATACAGCACACTGCAATCACTTTATCCCCAAATACATGAACATTTAGGAAGTGTCACATATGTAACCTGTTTTTGAATATACACAATACTGATACAACATATATGAGTGTTTAACCTTTCTAACAACGCTGAGGTAGGTACTACTAACATCAACTTTTTGATATGATAACTGAGATACACATAGGTTAGACAACAGTCTCAGAGTCACAAACTGAATAAGTCATAAAGTCAGGCTAAGCAATCTACGCACCATCCTAAGTCTTAATTGCTAGTCTAGATGACTTTTCATTCTTCACCTATTATACTAAAAAACTGATGCTTGAATTTTAAATAATTTCTACAACTTTATTTTTTTGTTTCTTTGTTTTCATTTTAGAAATAGATTCTCATATACCCTAGGTTAGCCTTGAAGTTTCATATACAAAGTTCATCCCTGAACAGGATGACCTGGAACTTCAGACTCTCTTGCTTCTTCTACATATCTGGTGCTGGGAATAGAAGCATGTACCACATTGTTCAGTTTCATGTGATATTGGGCAGCATACTCAGGGTAATAACTATCATATAAATATAGTAAGCATTTAATGTTGGTAGCATTGTTACACAGCATTTACAAAAAAGTAAAATCTTATACTTCTAAAGAAAAGTGCAATTTCATAATGAAATGTGACATGAAGATAAGTTATAATGAACATAATTTGTGACTTGAATCACTACCCATCAGTGGAAGTGATAAACCAAGGCTGTTGCAAGCAAACTGGTCTCCAAGTGCCTTAACATAGAAAGGAGTTCATCTATATTTGGAATACTAATTTAAAATGTAAACATGTATTCTTCTGATTTATATGCAGTAAGCATGGCCTAAATATAAATCCATACCAAACTTTTATTATAATTGCCTCCTAATAAAGACAGTATCAGAATAGTGATTAGTTTATATACTAACAAAATGTGTTCACAACAAAAATTATTTTCCTACTTTTAAAAAACAAATTGACCTTGTTTCAGTAAGATTTAATTTATCTTATTTCTTTTAAATATCCCTTCAAAAAAGCAAGTTCTCCTAGACAAAATGATGAGCAGAGAATGGGAGACCAAAAGATTATCTTAAGCAATAATAGTCACTGAACATTGTGATGGCTAAAAGGAAAATGGTAAGAACCCAATTTGTCACTTACATATGAATACTTTTATGATATCATTGGCTAATTTTGAAAAATTATACTAAACTGTGACAAAGAATAATCATGTATAATCAACTGGGTATCTATCCCTAGATAATATGTTGAAAAAATGATTAACAAAATTAAAAATTCACCTAAACAGAAGCATTAAAATTTCATATCCTCTATACCTACCTTTAGTAAAAGTTTATAAACTACATGAATACAAAAGAATAGCAAATTTTCTATTCACTTCACAATACTCAGATGGCAAACTTACCAGCTGTCCATAGTAACAATTTATAAGCTTTCAATTTGGATCAAATACTTCTATTCAAGTTCATTTGGTATCTGTGGTGTCTAACAGAAGCTTCGTCCATAAAAAGCTCACCAACATGGTTCCCTAACTACACCTTGAACTGAATGACACCAACAGACATGCTATTATGCAAGGGGAGAAGCTCACAAGAACTTAACCCTATACAGGTAACACAGAAATGCTTTGAGCAAGAGAAATTAGTCTTTCTCAGGGGAGAGCGCACCAATTGGTTATCCAATACTTAATGGTCAGCCATGAAAACATACACAGAGGTAACACTATACAGACTGAACAGGATGATTTTCACACATACACACACACACACACACACACACACACACACACACACACACACACACACACACACACACAGAGAGAGAGAGAGAGAGAGAGAGAGAGAGAGAGAGAGAGAGAGAGAGACAGAGAGAGAGAGAGAGCGCACAACTATCACAACCACCAACAAGTTAAGAAAAAGAGGCCATTAAGAGTAAATTGGGGAGCCGGGTAGTGGTGGCGCACGCCTTTAATCCCAGCACTCGGGAGGCAGAGGCAGGCGGATCTCTGTGAGTTCGAGGCCAGGCTGGTCTACAGAGTGAGTTCCAGGACAGCCTCCAAAGCCACAGAGAAACCCTGTCTCGAAAAACCAAAAAAAAAAAACAAAAAAAAAGAGTAAATTGGGTTTCATGGGAAGAATTGGACACAAGAAAGAGAAGGAAAAATGAAATAATTATAATCTCAATGAATAAAAAATAAAAATAAATAAAAACTGATGTAACGACATAACAAAGCCATACAACAAATATACATTGGAATACAGTTTCTGGATTTTAATAATTGAATATGAACACAGCAAAACTGAACATATTTATATTTTATACCTTAGCTCCATCTGAAATATTGTCCCAGTTTCCACCACTCAAAGGGAACTTCCCATTGCCTATATGCAGGAGTATTTCTTCAGGAGTATCATTGGGTCCATTGGAAAATGGAGTGTAGCTGTTAATAAAATAGATTTTAATAAATATGAAAAGTAAAGGTACGTTTTATATGTATATTCAAAAGTGGTGACTATAAGTCTATATACAAATATAAAAAGGAACCAAGATCATTACCTAATGTTTCCCTTTATTATTAATATGAAATCATGTATCTCAAACAATGAATTTAATTCTGATAAATTATTTAATGAAGTAAGGAATTGTGCTGATTACTTCTTTGTTTCCTTTGATCAGTTAATAAGTGCAAAATAAACAAGTACTTTTATATGAACATACAATATTAGAAGAGCATGATAAAAGACAAATATTCTATTTTGTTAGACTTAAGTTAGCAAGGAAATATATCTACTATGAAGAAATTTTAATTCTTACATAGTTATAATGTATTAATTATACTAGTTCAGCTTATTCATTAACATTTTAATTTTATGATTAGTGAAAAGGAGTTATAATTTTCAGTTTATACATATGAAAAACAAATATATTTAATATTGATGTCAATGTAATAAAAACCAGTCTCAGAATTATGTACAGAAAATTATTCATGGGTTGAAAAGAGATTCACAAATGTAAGGTAGATTTTAGAAATTAACTGGATGAAAGTACCATGTTATTAGCTGTAACTGAAATTTCTTTATATTTGGGAACGGGAAAGTTGATTTATGGTTAAAAAATTAGGAGATAGCTTTATACAATAATGTTTTCATTCCCTCATCTAACAATTAGGTTTATATAACATCAAACATAATTATATATAATAATTTCTTGTTTAATCACAAAGCAAATATTTGAAAGCAGAAAGCAAGAAACCTATTATACTAACTATGTATGACAAGGTATACCATTCTATAAAGAGCTTATTTAAAATCCTGACATATGCGATTATGCACAGCCAATTAATAATCCAACATCACAATGTTACTAATGTATTTTATGTTTTTATATAGCAGTTAAATTGAATATTTAAAATGTCATACCTGTCTGATAGTTACTAGCTAACCATCCTTTTTTAAAAAATAGAATAATTTATACAAGCATAAATATTCACTTTTAAATAAAATACTCCTCCCTATTAAGAGCAAAATATTATTTTCATTAATTATGTCACAAACATTAACACAGTCTCATTACCACATCTGTTTTGAGCTTATGCTCATCCTATTAATGGTAGATATGTATATGCACACTTCTCTAGATTAATATTGTTTAGTATTATATTTTTATTTATCCTCTTACTAAATCTCTTGTTGCTCAGAATTAATGTGCTTTTGTAATAAAATTAACTTAATACTGACAAGTCCAGTGAACATGCTATAATAATACACAGCTATACTATAGTCTATTAAGTTCATTAAAAAGTAAAATACTTGCCGGCGGTGATGGCACATACCTTTAATCCCAGCACTCGGGAGGCAGAGGCAGGCGGATCTCTGTGACTTCGAGGCTGGGCTGGACAGACAGCCTCCTAAACAATACAGAGAAACCCTGTCTCGTAAAAAGCAAAAACAAAACAAAACAAAACAAAACAAAACAAAAATTACAATACTTAATGTAAAAAGGTTTATTCTAAAGCATCTATTCTATATGAAAACTGTTGTATTTCTGTATCTTTCTCATTTTACAAGTAAAAAGAATAGATTTACAAATAGTAATGGGATATCTAACATTATTTTCTTCTGTACTTTTTCTAGAGGAAGATATGCAGTTAAGTTTGAGTTTGTAAATATCTTACCCAGCCAACATAGTGTAAAAAAGCACTCCCAAGCTCCAAATATCACAAGCAGCATCATATCCCTGCTGAGTGAGAACCTATGAAAAATAAGACGGCATGAGATATTATTTAGTACAGCGTCATTTTTTCATACACTGGAATATTGTCTTGATTCTAATAACTTTGTAAGTATTACTCACATAAAAATAAATATAAAAGTTTTAAATTACTCTAAGTCCTTTAAGGGTAAAAGTAAAATATTCTCCAATCTGCAAATACTGCATAAACTGGGGCTGCTATAAGTGGTAGGTAATATGGACTACACACAAAAACAACAACCCTTTAAGATATAAAACCTGACCTCAATGAGCTTTCAATTCGTCCTCATTTCAAATTGGATATATAAACACCTGAACTTAAGATTGATATGTAGAGGTGTTTGATAGAACTATAAATAGTACTGAGGTTTTTAGTTCTGATACTGACTCTATGAGGTAGATGTTAATTATTCCAATTCTCAAGACAACACTGAGAGAAATGTTAAGTGACTGGCTCAACATCAGAAAACTGGTCGCTACTGTAGAACAGGCATTCTTACTAAAAGGCAGTGCTTTTAATATCTATGGAAATCACTTCTTTTCTTTTTTTTTTAAATAGGGTTTTCTTCTAAAGCCCAACATGCCTGAGAAGTCATTATTATAGCCCATGCTGGTCTCAAACATGTGGCAATCATCTTGCTTCAACCACCCAAGTGCTGGGATTACATAAGATATGAGTCATCCCATCTGGCTTGATAAGTCTTTACTAGTGGTGTTTGTATCTGTATGAACTCAACTATGTATTTTAGTACTATTTATATAATAATTGTGTAACTTCTTTTGTTTGAGAGGCAGTATTAATAAAAATCAAAAAATATTTTACTATAAATCAATGGAAGATTTCTCTATGAACCTCAACAGCAATTGCAAGAAACATAAAAGGATGACGGGACGGTCAGATGGCTCAATGAGCAAAAGTGCTTGCTGCCCAGTTTGACAAACTGAGTCTGGATTCTCCAGACCTCCACATGTTTGTATGCTGTGGCATTTCCATTCAACTCATGAACATAAACGCATAGAATCAACAAGGCAATGCCATCTTTTTAAAGATAAAGATAAAGATAAAATGAGGGTACTTAAAAAAATAAACACACTGTTAAAGTCTATAGGCATAAGAAACAAAATAGAAGGATTATTAATTCATTAACACCAAAGGCTATATAAGCATCAGTATGAACTTTTCATCTAGAAAAGGCTAAAAAAATATTATAGTTTTGGCTTTCACAATTATCAGACAGAAACAATAAGTACCTTGCTTAAAATGTATTTATAATTCCTATGAATACATTTATTTATAAAAGCACACATGTGGTTATGCATGGTGACTCATGCTTGTAATCCTCAATCAGGTGAAGGAAAAAAGATCTGGAGTTCAAGGCCAGTACTGGCTATCATGAGGCATTTTCTAAGGACAAATATAGGATACATGTTTAACACTGATGCTATAGAAGACTGGACTATAGAAGCCCTAATGAATGCAACCTAAAGCTATATAGCACTGTTTTTTATTATTGTATGTCCTCATTTCTCATTATCTCTTACAATTCTAGGCATTTCATGTCTACCTAATTTTCCCAACTCATATTTGCATTTTATGCTTTCACAGCCTTATGGGAAGTGGTGGTTTGTCAGAAAATAATCCCTGAATGAAGCTGTGCAAGGAAGATTCTGAGAGCTTACGAGATAACTCCATGCAAACAAGGCAAAAATGTTGTAACCTCTGTTTCTCCATAACATGCTTTTGTGACCTCCCAAGTGTGGTAAATAGAAGTGTGTTTACTTTAGATTACCCATATCTTACCCATTATTATTCAGAATAATGTTTTCAAACACAGGTCATCCTTGTACCTGTATACAGCCTAAACTCATGTGACCTTTGCTCATTTGACCTTCCTTAACCCTCAGAATATAAATTGTCTGATGCTCTGAATAAAACTGGCTATTGCATGAATTTTAATTTGTCTCATTTTAGCCTCTACTCTCCCAACTAGAGCAGCAACAGTGGTTTGCACCTATAGTCCTAGCTTCTTGAGAGGCTGAGGCAGGAAGAATGTTTAAACTCAGAAGCCTGGGGCTTTAGGCAGATATCCACAGACAAACACTGAACTGAACTCCTGGAATCCAGTGTCAGAAAAAGAGAACTGATGGGCAAAGGAGTTAAGAGTGGGCTGGTTTAACCCACAGAAACAGCTGACCTAAACAAGGGGGAGCTCTTGGACTCCAGATTGATGGCTGTGTGGAAAGCATGGGACTGACCCAGACCCCCTGAATGTGGATGTCAGTGAGGAGGCCTAGGTAATCTATGGGGCCTTGGGTAGTATTTATCTCTGGCGTAAAAATAGACTTTGAGTGCCCATGCCATAATATGGGAAGCTCTCTCAGCCGGGACTCTTGGGGGAGGGCCTAGGCCCTGCCCTGGATGAAATGACAGTTATTGGAGATCCACCATGGAGTACCTCATCCTCCTTGGGGATCAGACTGGAGATTGGGGGAACTGGGGAACCTGGTGGGGAGGGAGGGGGAGGAGGAGATGGAGAGAGAGCTGGGATTGACATGTGAAACAAGATTGTTTCTAACTTAAATAAAAAATATTGGAAAAAACTAAACAAAAATTAAAAAAAGATAAGACCACGTGGAAATACATTAATAGAAATGGGTTAATAATTAAGACAGAGCCAGCCAATAAGAAGACCTAGCCATCGATCAACAGTTTTATAACTAATATAGTGTCTCTGTGTGTTTATTTGGGACTGAAAAGCAGTTGTGGGACCTGGCAGAACAAATAACTCCAGCAGCAGCTTCTAGTAAATATGTGATTACAAATCAGCCTCTTAAGGAGGGCCTCACCCTCCCTGGGGAATGATGTGGGGACTGGGCTGGAGGGGTGGTGGTGGTGGAGGGATAAGGGAGGAGGGGTGTGATAGGGAGCTGGGATTGACATTTGAAGCATGCATGTTTCTAATTTAAATAAAAACATACTAAAAGAAGAAAAAAAGTTCAATGTCTCTATAACTCTTCTAAGTTATAAGAACAGCATAACTGTGCAGTAGGTATCACAGTGTTTTAGCTTATCATACAAATCTTGCTTTTTTTTCCTACATACTGAAACACATTCAGTGTGGGTAAAAAGAGACGGCATTTTTTGTTCTGTAATTAGTCTTCAATGTCCTACAATAATGACTATATGAAACAAAAAAGAAACAAGGCATGGTGGCAGAATTAGTGGATGAGGATGATATTCAGCCTGAAATTTATATCTCTTCACTTGGATCAAGGTAAACTTAGAAGAATAAAAGACACAACTAAAGCAGTTAATTCCATAACCCTCTCTTTCACTTGACTTTGCAAGTCTGCAACAAGTAACATCTAGAATTCTCATTCCCTTTGCACTAAGTGTAATTCATATTTGACATAAAACATATGAAAGCACAGGCCAGAACAAAATTAGGTAATTTCAATATTATTCAATATAGTCACATGTTGTGAATATATTCATTCTTCAAATTTATTTTAAGTTCTATTAATTCAAGACCATTCTAAGACTTCATGTTTTTACTCATATAAAAGTAAATAATTAAGGATATTTTAATCATAGTGAAATAAGCATAAAGAAATGCTCATTTATGAAGTAAAACATAAGGGGTTGACTGAAGTGATACATACACAAAACCTGAGGGAATATTATTTCTTTACTGCTGTGCTAAAATTGCAGTAACGGGTGATTTTTCTTAGAAAACCACGTTTCTTTATCTACTGTGATGAAATTATGGAAGTGTAGTTCTATAAATCCTATTATTTCATAAAATACTTGCATGGCTAATTCAATCTTTATGGTTCCATTTTAAAATGACTATCTTGTATAGTTTGCGATATTTTGACAGAATCTGAAATTTTAAAGACTAATGTATTTCATTTATAACAACTCAGGAGTATTTACTAAATTTTGGCAGGATCTTCAGCACTAGATAAAATATTTCAAATCACTCAAAACACACAAGCCAAAGGTAGTTCAAATGCCAGTTGTGGAGAAGTAGTAGACCGCCCACCTAAAAATTTTCACTATTACAATAAACAAAGTGTCTTACTGGAATGGAAGTCGGCTAGGATTAAAAAGCAGCAGTGTACTGAATCGTACTGTGTACATATATTCATTTAAAGTGACCGCTTAACCATTAATCTTAAAATATTTGCCTAACCATTAATCTAAACATGCATACACTATGTGTTTATTCATTTTAAATTTTTGGTGTTCTTCTGGGACACGTTCATTCCTGAACTTTTTCTAGTAAGTTTCTATAAAAATACAAAGAGTAGAACTATACAAAATTAAGCCAATATTAAGAATTTGCCCATTAAAATAAGTAGTGAATACATTATTATTTGCATTAGAGAAATCATTTAGAATACTCATGGTGACTATGTAGCTTATATTTAAAAGAAGATATCACATTTCAAATGTTCTGCTCTCCTATCATATTCAAAACAAAGTCTAGAAAAACTAAAATGTTTTTATGTGCAAGGTATCTTATACACATGAGGGCTGTCCAAATAAAATAACCTCTTTGGGAATATGTGCCCCAGATTTAATGTTAAAAACCATAGTTTCTACACAGCATAATTTGGTAAAAATTGTACAATCATTATATTATGATTTTCATTAAAGAATAGAAAAAAACCACTCATATATGTATAATTGGTCACAGGCCAAATCATAATCACAAAAAGCTCATCAAACAAACACTGTATCTATATCCCAATAATAGGATTTTAAAGCAAAAATATAAAACAATTAAAATGAGAAGTTTATTAATAAAGTTACTTTTCTTAATTTTTATTTTAGGAAGGTAAGCTTCCTAACAACTAATTTACATATAGTATATGTAACATCTGCTTAAAATGATCAATTATTTGATACAAAATATAAAATACAAAATATATATATGGTAAGAATTCACTTTCAGATTACCCTATTACACTTTCCTGATTTGGCAAATTCAAGTTTTCAAAATGAGATTTTTAGATATTTGGATTAGCATCTAATAATTGTCATTAGTTATCAACATCTATAACATCTTAAGAACAATTCCTGGAAACCACAACACTGACTTCCAAAATGGCTGTATAGTTTGCACTCCCACCAGAGGTAGAGGAGTGTTCCCCTGACACAATATCCTCTCCAACATAAGCTGTCCTCAGTATTTTGATCTTAGCCATTCTGGCAGATAAAGACCAATACCACTCTTGGGCATTTGCCCAAAGGATGCCCAGTCATACCACAAGGACATTTGGTCAACAATGTTGATAGCACCATTATTCATAATAGTCAGAACCTGGCAACAACCTAGATGCCCCTCAAGCAAAGAATGGATAAGGAAAATGTGGTAAATTTACACAATGGAATACTACTCAGCAGTAAAAAATGATGACTTCATGAAAATTTCAGGCAAATGGATGGAACTAGAAAGAAACATCCTGAGTGAGGTAATGCAGACTCAAAAAGACAAACATGGTATGTACTCACTCATAAGTGGATATTAGATATAAAGCCAAGGATAAGCAGACTATAATCCATAGCTCCAAAGAAGCCAGGAAACAAGAAGGACCCTAAGAGGGACACATGAATCACCCTGGGAAGGGAAATTAGATGAAATCGATGGGGCAAATTGGGGGTGGGGTATTTAAGGGGGAGAGAAGGGGACTGAGAACAGGAGGCAATGAGATGTCCTAGGCGAGGAGGGATACAGTAGAAGAGAAATGAATAAGATATCGTAATAGAGAGAGCCACTATGGGCTTAGGGAGAAACCTGGCACTAGGGTAACTCCCAAGAATCCACAAGGAAGACCTCAACTAAGACTCCTAGCAGTAGTGGAGAGGGTGCCTGAACTGGCCTATTTCTGTAACCAGATTGATGAATACCCCAAAAATCATCATAGAGCCTTCATCGAGTAATTGATGGGACCAGAGGCAGAGATCCACAACCAAGAACCAGGCCGGGCTCTGAGAATCCAAGCAAAGAGAGGGAAGAGGGAATATGTGAGGAAGGGAGGTCAAGATCATTATGGATAAATCTACAAAGACAGCTGAACCAAGCTTGTGGAAACTCACGGACTCTAGACCTACAACCGTGGAGACTCCAGTGCACCGAACTAGGCTTTCCATATACTGGAGACAGTTGTGAAGCTTGGCTTAGCTGAGGGGCCCCTAACAGTGGGCCCATAATACAAACCTGGTACATGAACTAGTTTATTTGAGACCATTCCTTAGGGTGGGATGTCATGCTCAGTGACAGTAGGACCATGATATAATCACCAGTATAGTACAGCTTGTTGGAGTCCATTCCCTATGGTGGGATGCCATGCTCAGTTTTAGTGAATAGAGAGGGGCCTGGTCCTGCCCTAACCTATTGTGCCAGACTATGTTGACTCCTCATGGGAGCCCTTACCAGTGAGGAGGACTGGACTGGGGGTGGGTTGGGAGTAGGTGGGAGTTGGAAGGAGGCAATGGGGGTGGGAGGGACAACTGTAGTTGGAATGTAAAATGAAATAAAAAAACAATTCCTGACTTATAAACAAATGTTATAAAGAACTTTATGTAGCCAATGCAACCCCTCATTGATTTTTCACCAATCTTGTCTTCACTGCTTCCGGAGATTGTAATATCAGAGAGCTTCCCAAATGTGCAATCTGTATTCCTAAACTTATCCAGCCTTATCTTTCCTTAGCCTTCATTCCCCTAAAACAACGAATGATTTATAAGGAAAAAACAATGTTTCTAAAAACTAATCAAAAGGCAATTTAAAGCTGTATCTCAGTCCTAAAATGTATGGTTCTCAGCAAGGCATGGTGACACATGCCTGTAATCCCAACCATCAGGAGACAAATAGAAGAGACTTGCTATGCTTTGCAGTTTTGTAGTGAAGCCCTGTTTTGCAATCATATGATTTCTGTATTAGTATATAGCCCAAAAGAACAGGCTACTCTGACTTTACATTATGAATTAATATAATTCAAAAATTAAGTGAGCTTTATAGTGAAAAAAGTCTATTTTTACTTGTCTATACCAACATACTTGACATCATATAGACTTAATTTAAGCAAAACAATGAACACAAAATAGTAAAACTTAAAAAAATACCTCAGGTGCCACAAAGTTTGCAGTGTAGCACGGAGTTAACAGAAGTCCATTTTCTCCTCGAAGCTGTTTGGCAAACCCAAAATCACAAATCTTAATTGAATCTGCATTGGCTGATTCATCCATGTACAAAATATTACTGGGCTTAAGATCACGATGAACAACCTAGAACATAAAAGAAAACAGCATTATATTTGCTAACTAAATTTTTGTTAAAACAGCTAATATGTTAATAAGGAAAATCCTCAGATCTTTTCCCCAACCCATGGCATCAAAAATAAAGAGAAACACCCAGGCAGTGGCAGAGCACACCTTTAATCCCAGTACTGGGAGGCGGAGGCAGGTGAATCTCTGTGAGTTTGAGGCCAACCTGGTCTACAGAGCGAGTTCCCTGGACAGGCTCCAAAGGCTAAAGAGAAACCCTGTCTCAAAACACCAAATAATAATAATAATAATAATAAAAAATAATGATGTTGTTGTTATTATTATTATTATTATGAGAGACATATTTTGCCAGGTATCTACCAGTTTTGTTAAGCATTCCCATCTTCAATTATTGGTTCTACTTTTAGATATAACTGACTAAAGTTTTACCCAGTACCCAACGCCACTCCACCTATTAAATCTTAATATAAAATAAAAGTTAAGAGTTTGTAGGTACAAGAGAAGTTAGGAAAGCAGGGAGACACTGAGAAGTGACACATTTGGTGGAAGGATGAAACAGAGGAAGCTGTGGGTAGGTTCCAGTATCTGTGGCTGTCACACTAAGAACTAAGAACAGTCTCTATTATACAAAAAGGTTTTGGACATTTTTTGGAAAAAATAGCTTTTCTGTTTGATATTGCAGAAAAGAGCAGAAAACCACAAAAACAAAGTAGGGAACACTATACAGCAAAGAACTAACACTAGAGTGGAAAACCACAAAAACAAGTGGGGAACACTACACAGCAAAGAACCAACACTGACAGATAAAACAAAAATACAAGTAAAGGGTTTAATATTATATATAAAGGATATGAAGACATAAAGATATTTATATTCTGTTACTATATTCTTTAAGGATAATTTTGGCTGAGTTTGAAATGAATATTCCTTGTTTTTGTTCTGCTCTGATGGTCTTCATATCCTTTATTTAGCAATGTACAACAACACATGCTCTTTAGAGACAAGGGCAAAATCTTGCTCAGTATTTAAATCCATAATGCCCTTTGCTCACAATGTCTGTCATGTGTAAATGTTCAAAATGTCTGTTATTTAAGTGTTCTTAAAACAAGATCTATAAAGAAATAAATCAAACAGCAGATGTTTATCAAATTTTAAAAATTCTGGTTTATCATATCTTACAAAAATTCTGTTGTCCTTTAAGGTGCTTGCAAAGAGATTTGATTAATTTAATTATACTAGAATTATTATATTCCTTTGGTATTATGAAATTTATTTCCAAATACTGAAGCCTTATTCTTAGGTCACACACAACACTATTACTTTATTTTTATTATTTATAAGTGGGACTTATATATAATTTCTACTTTACAATTCTGAAGTGGAGTTTGCATTCTTTATATTTCATAGGTACTGTTGAGCTACACATGATTCAAGATAAAAAATTTAAATTAAACTTAAATTTTTACATACACACACACACACACAAACACACTATATTTCAAACCACTTTCTATAAACTTCACTATAATACTGAGTTTTTTATTAGGTTATGATACGCAAAAATATGCAAGAAATACAACACAGGTCCCATAACTGAAGGAAGAATTCAACTATAACTTACTCCTTGACAATGAAGATATTCAACTGTTTTGGTTATTACATACAATACATCTCGAGCTTCCTGTTCTGAGAAACACTTTTGTTTGAGAATACGATCCAGTAGTTCTCCTCCTTTCATCAGATCCGTAACAAGGTAAACATATTTCCCATCATCAAAGACCTAAAAAGGAATGTGTTTTAAAGTTTCATTACTTGTGTTCATTATTCTAATTTTTTAAGTTATATGTACTTTGCTATGTTAGTACAACTCTAGAATGAAAGCATACACATCATTTCTTTCTTATTAATGTAATACAGTCTGTACTGAAGAATGAATTTGGAAAAATAATCTCCTGTGTAAATCAGTATGATCCTATCAAACATGGAGTTGGGTAATAAGGAGTTTTAAGTTTGGGGTTAGAGAGTTCATCAAACCACATAAACAAAAAGAGTAGAATTCTGTGCCTTTCAAATGGCATATATGCTTTTTTAATTATAAGTACTGCTTCAAAAGTAACCACCTTTGTGATGGTAAACATATCATTTATTAGTTCATTGATTAGTATGATATCATAAACAAATGTTGAACTCAAATAGTGCATTAAAATAAATAGATAAGAAAAATATTTCCAATTGGTATGATATGTATACACATACTCATTCACATATACATGCATATACACAAACTACTGTTTAAATATAGCAAATAAAAGTATATATATTATAGTAACAGAATCAAACTCATCAAGATGATGGTTAATAGTTTTGCACATTCACAAAAACAAGCCAATTTTCTAATGTAAAAGTCATTATTCAGAGATATACATCAATATGTGTGTTACAGGTTTATTTTACAAAACTGTAGACTGATACTTATTCATTCAAGGAATGAGCCATAATTCTACAGTCAATTACTCTATAATCAAGAATGTAAATTTTCCAGAATCAATTTCCTTTATATTCATAGGGATGAGAAAAAATATTTAAATTGCAATATTAGTGAGTTAACTATTCAGAATAATATTGACATTATTAGGATTTTTATCAACAATGATAGTTCTTTATTGAAATCTTTAAAAACATAACATGGATAGAATCATTGGAAAATTAATGTAGCAAACTGAGATATGTCTGCATAGCATTGAAAATATCACACTTATAAAGTTCTAGTCCATAATATTATTAACTTAGTTGGTGTTTAGATTTTAAAATACTTACATCCTTTAAAGTGATAATGTTGGGATGTTGTTGGTAGCGCATCAGAATTTCAATTTCTTCTGAGGGGTCGCGTTTATTTTTGTCAATGATCTAAGAAACAGATCAGAGAAAATTCTCAAAAACAGTCAAATGATTTTCTTTATCAAGTAAAATGAAATATTTTCTATTTATCCATCCATCCATCCATTTTGTTGGTATTGTTTTGAGTTGGATTGTGCTACGTGGTTCAAGGTGTGCTAGAACTCAATATATAGCCCATTTAGGCACTATATGACAATCCCTGTACTCTCAAGTGTTAGAATTACATGCATGTGCCACCATGTCAACCATCAATTGGGTTATAGTATTAAAAAAACACTTAAGAATTCAAGAGCATCATTCTCTAATTTTCTAATTCTCTAATCATTCTCTAATTCCTTACAATGGAAATTTATTAGAAAACAACTAAGCTAGATATGCCTTTAACAAACACTTTACTGAATAATATATAATTTCTACAATTACTCAGTGATGAAGGTAACAAAATAATACTGTTTCTTCAAAATGAAGCTTCGCAAAAAAATTAAAAATGAAAACATTAAATCACAAACTTTTTTCTCATCATTTGATTTATCTCTCCTTATTCCAGTAAAACTGTGTATGAGCTTGAATGTAATACAAATTACATATATCAAATAATAAATTAGGATCAGAAACAATACCTTCACTGCAAACTCCATGTTGGAATCTGAATGTATGCATCGCTTGCAAACAGAGTAAGAACCAATACCAATATCTTCTTTCAATTCATAGACTTCACTAAATTGAGCAGCATTTCCATTTATCTGTTTTTTAAAACAAATTAAACACAAATGAAAACAAATTTCATTATTTTCTTAATTTTGTCGTAAATAATCATGCATCTTAAAGGTTAAAAAAATTCTAGAAATTTTATCAATATTTAAAAATTGTCTATATAAATTCTGAAACAACTCTGTATTATAGGCTTTCTAAAATCCCAAAACAATGTGATGAATTGACTAGTTTATAAATCACTCCAACGTTTTCTTCACAAAACAGACATAAACTATTAAAGGTAATTACTATCTGCTTTCCCCCAAACGGAGAAACACCTTTAACTCAATTACATTAAAGAAAAATAAGTAATTAATAATTATCTCTTAATAACTATTAAACATCCATTATAAAAGTGAGAGAAATACTTATCCTGAAACTGAACACTGTGATGATGATACCGAATTTACCTGGACAATTGGTAATACATTTGCACTTGTAACAGGAGTGATCTTATATTCTTCTGCAATAGAAGTTGCAACAAAGCTGAATCCTTTGAAGAGTTGATGAGCATTTGCACTGGCTGGCAAACCAGGAGAATCTAATATTGAAACAGTTATATTTTATTAGAATTACACAAATGTTAATAATATCAAGAGTTTTGACAATAAGAAAGGAAACATTAATATCACAGTCTGACACACTATAAATATGACTCATACTTTCTTGCCACTCTTTGTAGACAGACATGTTGTATGTGGTCAATTTTTATTGATGGCTGCATCCATTCTATCAAACACCACATAGTAGGTATTCAATATGTCTTGAATGAGTACATGAAATGGATGTCACTAACAGTAAATGACATCAAATTCTAAACTGAACCAGTGCATATCTCATGTTTCACTCATACCACTATCTATTAGCATTATTAGCATGTCAAGGAATTTATAAACGACAGAAAAAACTTCCATATTTTACTCTTCTCCAACTTCTATGATAATTATTTCCCAATTACAGATTGTAGCAATGCTGTATATAAGATCTACATTTCTACAAAGACCAAACTAAATTTGTAGAACATAAATTTTACTGGGAGGGCACAAAATTTAGTTTATTTAGTAATTACTACAACAAAAGCCTTGGTTATAAACAAATATGTATTACCTTTAGGTGTTTTGGCAGTAAATTCAGGATCGAAACAAAAAGTATCATCTGGTTTTCCAGAAGCAGGTCTGAAAGGAGGCTGAACTTCTCTTTTATATAATTTCTAGAGGTAACAGAGTAATGCAAAAACATTTAACATTTTGAAATATCATTAACACATGTTGAGTATTACTAATAAAACATCTAAAATTCAAATACTCTAACATCTAGAACATTTTGGATGTTAACATTATAGTGTAAGCAGACAAGTCGTAGCTAAAACACAGACACACTAAAAAATTTGGTATGAAATTTTCCTTGAGCTGTATGAATGAGGTACATATTAAACAGAAAATAATTTCATATTATTTGGGTTCTTTTCTCAAATTCATTCACTCCTTCTCATATATACACACACACCACAACACACACACACATACACACACACACACACACACATATTCAAATCCTAGAAAAATCTTAAAACATTTTGGGATATGCAACCTGTACTAAGTAAGTGTAATCAGAAGGCTCGAAACCTTTACACAGGTTTCAGATAATGGTTAACCAAATTCTACAACAACTGAGATGTAATAACCAAAACCTAATGAAGCCAGAGTACACATATGACACTATAATGACTTCACAGTTGGCACTGTAAACAAATAAAGATGTTCACTACTGGATATCAAAATAAGTTCTCCTTAGAGCTATGTCCATACAAAGCATATCACAATGAAAAAAATTTGAGATAACTAACAAAAGCAATGATCAGATTATTTTCATAATATTTCATCTAAAATAGTTTGTTTCCACTTAAGATTAAATATGCTCTTCTTAATACTTTAAGTTCCCTAAACTGTGCATGCTTTAAAAATGCAGATGGGTAAACAAGATTGCAGCTGAGTAAGAGGCTCTGACAATCTCTGCTCATAAATACACCATGTGGAACAACCATTCACTTACCAAATCAGTGTCAACAGAGATAAGGAAATCAAGCTAGTGATCATAGTGCCTGGTTTAACTATTACAATACAAAGACTCAGTCAAGGAAAAAGGCAGGAAAGATAACTGCAAGCTGTTTATCCCAAATCCATTTCACCATTAGCAAGATGCACAGAGCGAAAGTGAACTCATGGAGTATAACAGTCCATATCAATTGCATTTAAAACAAAGTGTGAGTGGCCATATATCAGATAGAGTTCAAGTCTGTCATAGCCTCACTCATTTTTCCCTATTTCATCCTCTTCTCAAATATAGTGTAAGTATAATATTAAACATAACAGTTACATCAAATGACAAAAATTACTATTTCTATACATCTACTACTTCAAAGTATTGCCATGCTATGTGATAACTATAAACAAAAAGATCGAAATTAATATAAAATAAATGGATTTTTATCTGCAAAGTATATCACCACCAATTCTAAAGAATTTTGTTAATTTTAATATAACTTATTTACTAACAAACATATTCAACTTACGTTCCAGTCAACAGATGCAAAAAAAGCATGTCTTTTGACTTCTTCTACTCCCTCTGATCCTATAATATGGGAATACCTTTAGTTGTATGATTTTTTAAGCTTTCTACTTGGGTTCTACACTATTAGATATAAACATTACTGCACATTTTACCTAGATTCCTTATGGTGAAATATCTATGATTTCTTATCTGATATTGTATTAATTTGTCCTTTACTATTAATGAAAAAGAAAACTAATACAAATAATGAAGTTTATAAGTCAACACAAAATACTAAGTACTAAAATGCTTCCTTAACAAATACAATTCCTATTAATTATTCAAATAAGTAACTTATTCAAAATTCACCTTATGTCTTATACTCATACACTATGCTAAACTCAACAAAGGGCAAAATAACACATTGTAGTTTTAACACGAGGACATCACATCCAGATCTACAAAAAGGCAATGTAACTCTGAAGTTTACTAGGAGAGGCAAAATAATCACTCTCAAATATCTACAAGGATTATCAATACACTGTAAGCTATACATTTTTTCAAAAGATAATGCATATGACATACATAACATTAAATGTTGAATAAAACTTTTCATTAACTAGATTATTTAGAGTTTTAAACACAAGCCAAAATTTTTATTTTATATAAAATACTAAAAGCCCACAACTCAAACAAAAATAAACAGCAATCATAGATGAATTTGAGCTAGAATATATAAAGATCCAGTTACTTGGTTAGTATATGCAATAAGGATTAAAGAGATTAATAATACCCAATCTATTTGCTGGATTCCTTTTGAATAACATCCTTAAAAGACTTTGTGCTTCAGCACTAAGAAATTGAGGCATTCCAAGTTTTGCTCTGAAAAACAGTATAGAAAATTTCACTTAAATCTAGACTCAATGAGTCAATAAATCTCAGAGTGAATCTTAAAAATTTTAAAGACTCCACAATATGTTAGAATAAGAGAAAAAGTCAAAAATTGTTTAAGTCTTTGTTGAAATCCACATTAATGTTTCAATACTAGAGACAAGAATTTTTTCCCTAAATAAAATAGTGTTTCTACTTACTTGAGTATCATATTCATGGTTTCATTTCTGTCTTTACCTTGAAATGGCAAAGTGCCAGTAAGCATTTCAAACTAGGAAAGAAAATAACCACAATGTATTACAACTTAGAAAATATAGTTAAATTTGTGTTAAAACACAAGACTCATGGTGCATGATTATTAAATCATGAAGGATTCACTTGATAGTGGCTAAAAACACAATCAGAAATTAGATAACTTTAAGAGCAAGCTTGCTATGTACATCTCTACATAGAGTTCAACAGAGTTGAACTGCAGTAGATGGAACCAACCAGTTTCATTTTACTTCTAACATGTCTAACTTCTCAACCTAAATGAAACCTGAAAGTAGGTTGTTTCACAAACAAAGGTATAAATTTAAGCAAATAATGGGAAAAGAAAATATGCACCAACACATCTGGGATTTACTCATACCAAGAAGAAAATTTAAGAATTATCCATTCTAAATCCTTTCTAATTCCAAGACAAAAATATAAAAATTAAGAAACAGAATTCCAACATTAAAGGTAAGGCCAGTGGTATATTCCTATAATGTCATTTGTTCTGGAATATGAAGCCAAAGGATTATATGTTCAATGCCTGCCTGAGCTACACAGTCAGTTTAAGGCCAGTCTGGATACCTTTACTAGGGACTTATCTCAAACTAATTATTTTATAGGTCTTGGGACACAGGTCAGTGGTAGAGTACTCGTTAGCATATGCAAGACCTTGGGATTAAATCTAGTACTCCAAAAGTAAGGTAGAAAAAGAAGTAGAAAATAAGAGACACATACACACATATGCCTATGTGCAATAATACATTTATAAAAAGAAAAATGGAGACATTTCTGTACTGCATAAAGAAAACAACTTACTATAGAGATTCAACTGAGAACTACAACATAATATGTACCACTATTTTTAAAAGTCTAGGTCTAAGTATGTGAATTCTGTTGTATGGTAGAACACTTGTATAGCTTGAACATGGTTCTAAGATTAAATCCTTAGTACTGAAACAAAACAAATGAAAGAAAAGAAAGAAGGGAGAGAGGGAAGGAGGGAGGGAGGAAGGGAGGGAAGGAGGGAGAGAGGGAGGGAGAGAGGGAGGGAGGGAGGGAGGGAGGGAGGGAGGGAGGGAGTCTGAAACTAAAGATCTCACAAGTTCAATTAAAAAAATTGTAAGGGGCTGGGGAAGTAGTTTAGTGAGTGAAGTGTTGACCACACAGTTTGGATCCCCAGTACTCAATAAAATCTGGGTGTGGCAGGCATGTATCCTTAACCTCAGTAATTTAAGAACAGAAGAAAGTGGCAAAATCTCCAATTGCACCTCTGGAGCTTGCTAGTCAGCCAGTGTAGCTAAATTGATGAGATACAGGTGCATCAAGTGGCCCTCTCTCAAAGTGAAGTTCAACTGAGGAAGACACATGTCATCAACTCCAGGTCTGCCCCCTGTCCCCCTCACAAGTACATGAGTATAAACACAAAAATTATAGCGCCAGTAATTGTATTTCAAACTAAAATTGACTAATGGCCTTGGCATCAGTCCTCTGTTCATTTAAGCTGAACTCATAACCTCAGTTACTTTATGTATTAATCTCTCTTGTACTATGACAACATCAAATTGGCTGCTCCAACCTCATCCACTCTCAAGCACTATTTTTCTCACTCAAATCTATAGCAATAGTTGATATGATGGTAACAGACAAAAAGGGAGATACTGCATCTAAGAATCCTACCTCCTCACAAAGAAACTATGTTAGGTAGCATTCCCTTCTCAGTGCTGTATAATTTTTTCAGCCTCCAAATGATTCTGTTTGTTTCTTCAGTGTCCCTCCTTACATTACTCAGTTAACCCGTGCTATATATTTCAATGCATTACTTCCCTACCAGTTTGCCATTAGGTATTTCTACCAGCAGAGTTTTTTTATTAACCTACTATTATTTCATATATTCATATATCTGGACCATCTCCTCTATTTTATCTGTATCATTTAATCAGCTACTAAGGTTAGTAACATGTTTTATGAAATGCCTTCAAAATTTCCTTTTTTATAAACTCCAATATTCTGACAGTCTTGAAAGATGTTATTTTCCTGTTTCTGGGGATTTTCCTGGCCATTTCCAATCATTTATATAATGCTGCAAAGGATAAACTTCCTAAAATACAACTTTTCTTCACCATCCTGATTCAAGACTGCAATAGTTTACAAATACCAGAAGAATCACATGAACATGTATAGGTTTATAGCTACACTTTCTCTGCTTTCACTCTTATTCTTGACTTCTCTAGTAAAACTGGTTTCCTGCAGATTTGCTAATATGATCACAATAGTTTTTCTTGACACACAACTATTGGATAGTTTCCTTAGGTATTTGAATTGTTTCTCCAGCCAGGCTTTATGTGTTCTCTAATAAGGAAAAAAGTGCTGTAAATTAATTAGTTTTTACACCGCTGCTTTCCCCAAATGCCCCCTTTTAACAGATATTTAGTATATGGCATTGCCATGTCATGTATCATTCCATGACAAATGGGGGAAACAGATAATTACACTTCAAAAGAAAACTGCTGTGATTCAGTAGCCAATTATCACTTATATTTAGAATGTATATAACTGTCACTATATTAGTTACTGAGTGAGACAAAAATATAGGATACAACTGCTAGCATTTCTAGGACATGCGTGAAACAATTGGACAAATAAGATAATGGTGATAATTTCTATGATACCTAATAAAATAGCATATAAGTGTTGGTAAGATTCAGAATCATCTAGAACTTTTCTAAATTTCATATACAAAGAATTTATCTAAACATCTTGTCATTTACCTTTTCTATAGCAACGTTAAAATGAAGACATTAAAACTCTTGTCCTTACTGCTTGCCAATCACATTACAATTAGTCATTTAATTATCAGAAGAAACTTTTTCTGAGCTGACCCAAAAACTTCGACTAAAATCCTAAATAGTATTAGCAATATATTCACATAATGAAGGAAAATAGTACAACTTACCATAAGTACACCATAAGACCACCAATCAGCACTCTGAGAATGGCCTCGTCTATTTACTACTTCAGGAGCCATATACTCCACAGTGCCACAAAATGAGTAGGCCTTCTTTTCTTGATCCACTGACTCTTTGCTAAGCCCAAAATCTGTGCGTTACCAAAAACAGAGGTTGAAAACCTCAGGCAATAAGAAATACCAAAAGACAAAATAATGAATTAAATATTCAAACAATTATTTTGGCCTAAATTACTCTTAAGAAAGATAATCTGAAACAAGTAACAGAAATCACTCTATATTTAATGATAAAGCTCTTTAAGAATATTTAAAGATTGGTGAGGCAAATTTCACCCTCAAAATACATTTTATTATGTAATTTTGAGTGATAAAAATTTTTAACCAAGGTTGTCATATTACCCTATGTATAAATTGATGTAGCAATTTATACCTAAAAAAACATTGCAAAGGTACAGTATGCACGGGCAAACTTGCATTTGTGTCTAAAGCCTTCAAAGAACCAATGGTATCAATATAAAATCAATATTTTCTGGAAAAGTAACAGAAAATGGTAATTTAAATTTAAAAAGGAGTAATACAGTACTACTAAACACCTTGCAAATAGCTTATTAGTATACATAACATATATGTATTTATGCTGCAAACTAGAAACTCTGATGAAGGACAAAAGTCATGGTAAATAAATGAAAATATATATTTATATAATGGTGATTCAATTATATTAATTTATTAATTCTTCTAAAACAGACCCACAAAATCAATGAAATATCAATAAAATTTCTAGTAAGATTTCTTTGGGAGAAATCAACAACCTGAATCTAAAATGTATATGAAAAGATTTGAAAACAATACTGTAAATAAATTTTTAAAAATATAAAAAATTGAATTATCTTATACTACCTAACTTAAACATCAGTACAGAGCTATAATAATAAACATAGTTAAATATAGAAGAAAGCTGGATACATATACACATATCTCAATGGAATAATATTTAATATACTGAATTATAATTAATTCTGATGTGATCTTGTTTCAAAATGCAAATCTGTTCCAATGCAGTTTGTATATTAGAAAACAACTTGAGCACAACATGGATTTCACTTTGGCTAATTGTATAACAGAAGAGTAGCAGAACACTGAAAGTACAAACATCTGGCAGCTACTTTAGCTCATGATACTTGTGATGATTCACTCTGTCTACTTAGTGTAACAACTTTCCTTCCAATTTCAGAGACTATAGTTCCCACCAGTTCTTAATTATAACTCAAAACTTATTTTTTTTGATATCTATAACTACAAGCAAACTTTATGTCTTTTTAAAGGTAAGGCACAATGTTTACTACAGTCATTATGTACTCAATTATTTGAACATGTAACACAGTGGTTTTACATTTCCTTTCTACTTTTTAAAATCATATAAATCTGAGTAAACATTTCAGTGTTTTTTTCCTAAGTCAGGTAGTTTGTTTTTTTAAATGTTATTTTGCATAATGAAGTGATTAGGGTCACATATATCTATCATATAACAAAATTGGCTTGATTTCTGGTGAAAATGAATAGCAATTACCTTGAGGAAGAGCAGCCATTTAAGCAAACAGTGCCAGAACAAATGTTTACATAAATATAAAAAACACATTGTACTCATGTCATAACAACAGTAACTGGAAATGTATCACAGAATTATATATTAGAAATACAGTAACTACATAGGGAATGAAATCATTCTGATTCTATATTAGACAAAGATTTCTTAGGCATGACATCAAAAGTATAAACAATACAAGAAAAATTTAATGCACACAGTATCATCAAAATAAAGAATGTGTGCTTAAAACATAACCGTGGAAGTATTTGCAATTGTTAGCTGATGAGAGAGGAGAAGACATCTTTAAGAGTATATTTGTAGGTTGACCACTTTCCAGTGGAAAACCACAAAGCCAAGAAAATTTGGGTAACAGAAATTGGTCTTGAAGGATTTTTTTAAAGGGACACAAAATTTTTTAAAAAGGGGAGGACAAAATTGAGGAGGTGGGGATGAGTTCATGGATCTGGGAAAAATTGAGGAAGATGGGTGAATATTATTTTAAAAACTGTATGAAACCCTCAAAGAACTAATAATTTTAAAAGATACATTAATAAAATAAAAAATGAAATCAGAGAAATATTTATATATCATATTATCTACTGATTTGTATTTGAACCATAAAAAATATCAAAAGTCAGCAAGAAGAAAACAATCCAGTTTTTACAAATGGTCAAAAGACCTAACACATTTTTGTAAAAACATGAATACATTAAAAATGACAGTATCATTAGTTATTAGCAAAAGAAAAACATGCTGAGATGCATGTCTATTAGACTTGCTAAAATAACTATCCCACATTCAGTAGCTTTGTAAAATGTACAACCACACTGGAAAAGAATCTGGAAGTTTCCTCTTAAATATATATTTACCATAGAAGTAATGATGTTCTTACCAATTTACCCAGATAAATTAATTATTATGTTCATACCAAAATCTGTTCAGACGTGCTGAGAAGTGCAACTATAGAATGGTTCTACAAAATTGGTTTATATAACAAAATCATAGAGACGGAGAACAGAAAATTGACTACAAAGTTAGGGAAAAGTAGGAGTTTATCACTATTTTTTTTTCTGATGTGACAAGTGCTTAGTTAATTCTTTCAATATATAATGAGATTAAAATCTACTATTTTTACCTAAAGTAATTGTAATTAGTACAGTGCCTCTATTGTAGAACTTTAAATGTACTCAGAATACATCAAAATTATGTAACCTTTAAATGAATCTTAATCCACTGAAGATACAAAATGCAACTCAAATGAAGGCCAAAAACAGATAGCAGATTTAGAAAAGTATATTAGAATGTTAAAAAGATAATAATTAAATAATGCCCTTATTACATACCTGTTAACTTGATATGTCCTATTTCATCAAGTAAGATGCTGTAAGTAAAAGTTTATATTAAATATGGTAGAATAAAATACATAAAGATCATAAATATAAATTTGTTACTATTTTCACATTCAACATTTTGAAACCAAATACATAAAAGTCATAAATATGAAATTAGTCACTATTTGATATACTGAGAAATTTTCAATTATTAATTTAAAAACAAAAGTGTATTATGAAGATTATTTTGTACAGTAAATTTTATGTAACTATATCATTCATCAAAATTTCATATAATTTGAAAAAGTGTAATGAAATATGTCAAGATAAATGAGTTCCAAACTGTAAAATATATATGAATAAAGGGTGGGAAGACGGGAAGGCTTAGAAGATAAAGGCACTTGCCACCCAGACTGACAAACTGATATTTGGCATCAACATAGCGGAAGGAGATAGAGAAATCCCACAACTTGTCCTCTTTCCTCTACATACATGCCATAGCATACACTTGTCCACAGTCACACATACAGACACACACAGTAAGTCAATGTAATAAAAAAAAATCTTAAAAAGCAAAAGAGATTGTTGCATGGATACAGATGTAGAATATAACTTTACTTCTCTGGCTTCAGGTCTCTATACACAATTCCTAGACGGTGCAGATGATCCAAAGCCAAGGCCAATTCTGCAAGGTAGAATTTCACATCTTCCTCTGTAAAAAGAACCTAAAATAAAATAATAATTCATCATTTGATCTTTCTTCCAATATAATGTACTTTTAAGTTTACTTCCTTAAAAACCAGAAGACAGAAAAATCTGGGCAAATAATATCAAAATAGGCATAGTTAAATCTTATTTGATTGGCACTGCCATTAATTATATCAGAGAAATTTTCTAGATAAATGTTTTTAAAAATTATTTTCTTTAAAAATATTAGCAATATAAATATAATTCTTTCTGAAATGCATGCTGTTTGTATATAATCTTGCATTAGATGCACTTCAAAATGGGTTTCTAATGAGTCTCATAACATCAATATTAACTCTGGTACACTGAAGTGGCATAGTGGCTGTGCTCAGACAGAGCAATGGAAGTACTAGGGATGTTTTGTTTTAGCACTCCCACTTCCATTTCTTTCTACTATTCTCTCTTTGTCACCTATTACCACACCTCAGTGATTTCACATTTATCTCCACTAACTCTAAGCTTCTAAATTTACCACTAAAAGTTGTTAAATAATCCTTATGTCAGAATTTGAAGCTCACATCTGACCTAAAAGGGATCCACCTTTTTTCACCTGTAAGTAAAGTTTATGAATTTAATGGCACTGGATTTCTCAATTTTATTGTGTGTGTTGGGGAATAAAGATTTTTTTTTTGTTTTTTTCGAGGCAAGGTTTCTCTGTGGCTTTGGAGGCTGTCCTGGAACTCACTCTGTAGACCAGGTTGGCCTTGAACTCACAGAGATCCGCCTGTCTCTGCCTCCCGAGTGCTGGGATTAAAGGCGTGCGCCACCAACACCCGGCTGGGAATAAAGATGTTAAGACAACGTGAAAAGCATATGAAACTCGAAGTCAGACTTAGGGGGTTTGCATCAGACGTCATTTAATACTCTGGACCTGAGCTATTAAATTTTTAAAATAAAAACAGTATCTACTATATATAACTAAGAACATTGTTCTAAAATGCAAATTCATTAAAATGTACCTAAATATGTAACTATATGGTGTTATTAATACAGCTTTATACATACACAAATAGATATATATTCATCCATAGCTGAGTAATTAATGTATATACACATTTGTGACTACTCAAAAACTACACATAAATTTTACTGTTATCAAGGGTTTTCAGATTGGCCAAAATACTTTTTTCTTGAACTCTGTTATTTTCATTAAAGAAATCTGGCTTATTTGGAAGGCTCAAGTTTGAATAAAATACTACATAATTAAAATCAACTTGTCCATTTATAGTCACCGTATTTCACAAAGCAGATTCATGTCACTAATAAAACTGAAGAAAATAAAGAGTCATTATTATTGTCTAAATTTCAGGGACATTTTTTTGAATAGTCTAATGGTCAAGTATAAGAACGTCATTTTTAACTTCTTATTAAGAATAAAAGTGCCGCCGGGCGGTGGTGGCGCATGCCTTTAATCCCAGCACGTGGGAGGCAGAGGCAGGCGGATCTCTGTGAGTTCGAGGCTGGGCTGGACCGACAGCCATCAACAATACAGAGAAACCCTGTCTCGTAAAAACAAAAAACAAACAAACAAACAAAAAAAAAGAATAAAAGTGCCTCGAGAGGCAGAGGCAGACGGATCTCTGTGAGTTCGAGGCCAGCCTGGTCTACAGAGCAAGTTCTAGGACATCCTCCAAAACAATACAGAAAAACTCTGTCTGGAAAAATAAAAATAAATGAATAAATAAATAAAAGTGCTTGAAGTGCTTGTTACTCATTTTACTTCTGTGGAAGAACAATCAAAATGTTCATTAAAACCTAATACATGCCAGAATCCTAAATATCACTTATAATTTGAAGTAAGAAACACTGCCTAGGTTACACATTATGTCAAACATTTGCTAGAAAGCCTCATGACAGAAATAAATAATAAACTTGCTAAAAGTCAATCATGCACCAGACGCAATTTATTGTATGCCAGCACTACATATTCTTTCTGTTATTACAATCTGCCAAACAACTCTATAATGTACTATTATCAACATCCTACATATGTGAACGATGAGAGTCAGAGAGACTAAGTAACTTGACCAAAGTAACTAGTAAGTAGGAAGCATAAGATCTGAATTCAGGAATACTTGTCCCTAAAATTGACTTTTTCCTCAGAAGACACTTATATCTTACTTATAGTGTATTCTCCCCTATGTTTCAGTTCACAACCAATAATGCTTTCAAATTTTTTTAAATTATCCTACTCATAAAACTCCCCTCAAAAGAAAAAGTCCTCTAAGATTCCAGTACAAGAAAAATCATTTTTAACCTGTGGCTTATTAATGTGTGTATTGGATTATGTATGTTAAGATACTTGAGTACTTAATAACATATTATATAGGCATCTCCTTTATTCCAACTTAATATCATAAGCATACTCCCATACATTTCAAAGTTTTTATAGCATCATTAAATAAATGCATAGCAATAATATCAACTCATCATGATTTACCTAAAGGCTCTCATTATGGACAATTAAACTATTTCCTAAATTCATTCCTATAAATATTATAATATGCTATTTTATAAATACATATTCTTAAATAGGCATACTTCTGTGTATTTCACCAGAATGGTTTCTTAAGTAATAAAACAGAAAATACTGGGACAAGGAACAGTCTGGATTCCTGACATATACAATAAAATTACTTTCAAGTAAGGTTACAACTATTTCCGTGCCCATCAGCTTTTTTTAATGTATTAGCCTTACTATATCAATGACAGGACCAAATTATCTTTTAATGAAATTTTTAATTGAATGTACAAAAAGAATATCTAATTTGATTTTATTTAAATTTATTCATAGACCAAACAGCTTTTCATGTCTTGTGGCCTTTCTAGATTTCATGAACTACAAGAAATTTGTTGCCTATTTTCTATTACTAACATATTATTTTGTTCTGTTGGTATAAGCCCTTCAAGTATTAAAAATGCCATGTCTTTATCAAATTGATTAAAATGTTTTTCAAATATGTGCTGGTTTTGATAACTAGTTCTTAATTTTATATAATCAAATTTATTTTATATTGTTTGTTTTTCCCTTTGTTATTTTAAAGCTTTCAAAATGTCCATTTGATGATTAAACACTCAGATCCATTTTCTTTTAGGATACAGTGATTACTTTTAAGATACAGTTATATCAAATAGGTAAAATTTATTTGTTGTGTGATATAGTTGGTGTTTTACATTAGTTTTGAAATATTTACCCAAATTCTCATATACTGTTTTTATAATATACATAGACTCATTCTTTACTCATAATTGTATGTTAAATCATATACAGTAAAATTCTAACAATATGTGTCTGTGTTGAAACTATGATATCTAGCTTACAGACACTTTAAATTTACACACACACACACACACACACACACACACACACACACACAGGTATGGTGGAGCACAGCAGCAATCCTAGTACTCAGGAGGCTGCAGTAGGAAAGGGTCTATGGGTCTACATGTTCAAGGTCATTTGGCTCTTCTTAGGTAGACTCTCCCAAAAAACAAACAAAAAAGTAAATTTTAAGAAAGTTTTCATCAAATGACTTTTTTGGCATTTGTTTACTCCTCCAGAGAAACTGTGAAACTATGCTATCAATTTTTAACACATACAAATTTCTATTGAGACTTTGACATTTTATTAAACTAATAAATAAATTTTGAAAACAGGTACACAATAATAAATCCGAGATATTTTCTTGATATTAGCAAAAAAGACAGATGTGGCTTAAATTTCATGTGTTCATGTATAGATTTATTTGAGTGTATGTGTGTGTGCATTTTTAAAGAAAAATTCGGGGATGTACTTTTTCTTTTAAAATGTAAGGAACAAACATCATAAAATTTCTTAATACATACTAAAATGAATTTTTAAAATTCTGTTTCTAAGGTACAAGTATTGCTTCATTTTGAATTACTCAATTTTTATCATTCACAAGTGAAATATAACCAACAATTAACTAACTTACAATAAGCTACCTATAGAATTAATCATTGAATCAGTTTTTAAAGTCTACTCAATGAAAAAACTAGTTTATTGTCTTTTGGGAAATGCATTTAAAATGCTTGCTCTTACCTAATATTCCAGATTTAAGAATCAAAACTTACTGACTGCATCTCTGTGCTAGTATGAGTTTAGACAGTCCCACATCGAGAATGGAGGTCTGAAGAGTTTAAAAGAAAGTTAGAAATGACTACAGGTAAGAATTTTTCAAAAACATTTGTGACACTTCTATAACATAAAAAATAATGAATGCTGGAGCTTTGATATATTACTGTCCTTCTATAGATTCTTTAAAGACTTTCCTTGGATGAGGGTCATAGACAGAGCCTACTACATACTAAATCCTATCCTAGAGTGCAAAATACATGCTCATGCATGCCAAGCTCTGCACTGAAGTTAGACAGAGACCTCAGGTACTTAAGCACTGACAGAATCTCATAAGTACGTTTTTCCTTTACCACAAGTTCTAGATCTCTCCTACACTCAATATCATTCATTCTGTAAGTTAGATGTTGAAGTACAATCATCCAATTAAAACTCTGCTACCAGACTACCCTTTCAAGACAAAATGAAATGGACAAAGACAAAAGCTATTCTTCTGCCTGAAACATCCAAAACACAGGACAAAATATATGAAATGATATTTCTCAAGACACTGGACATTGAGCAACAAAAGACAGTGATTACTGAGATATGAGTAACAAATGTGGTATGCCCCACAATTTTCCTAGCTCACTACCTGGAAAGTTTCCAAGTGGAAGTGTAGGATGGTCTAACCCTCGTAGAGCTCAGAGATTTCCTGAAGTAATGAGTTAGAGCCAAGGGTCTTAGAAAAGACAATAATTCAGAGTACCAAAGCAAAGGAAATCGCAGAACAACCTCTCAAGATATGTAATCTTTCGCAGCATTGTACGTGAGAATGAGAACACTATGCTGAACCAGAAAAAGAACTAAGTGCTATATAAAACAATCCGTGTAACTCACACT